CCTCTAGTAATATATTTACTGAGAAAAATGGTGACGTGTTCAATACTTATTTTACCCGCTGTATTCTACAAACATATTGTTTAAATTTGGTGTGGTCGTAGCTGAGAGTCATAACCAGCACAGACTTCAAGTGCAACTCTCGGTGCAAAGTCCTTGTTTAAAGGTTTGGCATTAAATGTTGGAGTCAACCGTGGTTGTTAGCAAAATATCTTATAAACTACTGGATGGACATTAAATCTTAAATATGAACTTTTGAAATTAGTCCAATTCAAGAGCTAATCAACCTTTAACCAACAGAAAAATGATTTTAACTCTGTCAGTTTGACACACACTGAAGTTTGATGTGGTAGTAGCTGAGAGTCATTGACAACACACCACTTATTATTTTCAAGGTTTGACCAAAAGGACTCCAACTCTGTTATTTCTCTACATAAGATGGTCTTAAACACTGTGGTGAAAAAACAGTGCGTTACTTAAAGGAGCCTTCAAGTATTAAGTTATTTGGCAAATCTTTGCATTTTTATAGTAGAGCAGGTAAACAGCATGTGACAGGTAATTGGACATATTGCTGTTTCAGGTGAACATCCACAGAAGATTGACAGAGGTTTGAATTGTGTGTTCTTGTGGGAGTTTAAAGAGCAACGTGGATTATTTTCACCACTTCTCAGCTCAAACAGCTTCTAGTCTTTTTTTCCTCTTACATCCACCAAATCATTTACACACCTGGATAACTGCCCCTGAAAGGTTAACATTAAAAGGTATTTAACAGAAAAGCAACACAGACGTTTCACTGTGTTGTGCATGCAAATTAGTATTATTTAGTGGGTATTTTTTAGCTCTGGAGCGCAGCTTGGATGACATGAGCTGAGTTTGGCTCGACTCAAATTCATCTTCTCCTAATTGAAGTCGATTTAAAACAACCCAACTACCTGTGGCACGCGCTCAGGTGGAAAACAACTATAAAACAATGTACAGTGTTAGCATGTCACACAGCCGGCACGGGGGAGGTGACAGAGCTAGCATAAGGGATTTATAGCTGGTTCTRGTAGCAGGCAGCTGTTCTGTAACTCAGTAACGGTCCATCGCTCCGCACTTACCCGCTGATGAACGTCAGTCCTCACACACACAACTCGGCTCGGTRTCCGTCCTCTAGTCGAGCTGCTGCAACATGACCGTGATGAGGAGATGCGCTGCTCGCTGAAAGTACTGGAGTTRTTTCTCCTGAACAGAGTTAGCTCCGGATGGAGGAGGAGACGCTTCTTCTTCTGTCAGACAGTCACCGCACCGAGCCGGTGCTCCGCTCCGCCGCCATCTTGGTTGTGAATCCGACATGCGCGCGCGCACACGCTCGTGTTTTATCTCTTCGGAGGACGCCTCGGTTCCCTGGGCAGGGCCGAGTCTAAGGTCAGACCCTCTGGGGTCTCAAATAATTGGCTCAATGCTCAGAGGGTCCTCATGGGGGGAAAAAAATCAGTCACGTGTTTATTTTTGTTTGTGTTTTTACTTACTAGTTTATTTTGGTGTTGTCACTAAACATATTATGGAAAACACCTAAAAAAAGCTTTTTTTTTAATTTGTCAAAATTGCCTTGCTTTTCTACTCTTAAGTGTTCCTCATTGAAATCCATTATAAATCTATTTCTGAGCGCCAATTTGTCACAGCATAAAATAATGTTTCTKTCAGTTACTTCTTTTTTTCTGTATTAGTCTTTTTTATTATCCAACTAGGTCAGGGATTGGCAACCTTTAACACTCAAAGAGCCGTCTGGATAAGAACAAAAACACTGGGGTGCAAAACCCCTTTTCATYTACAAGGAACGYAAAGCTGGGTTCACACCGAATGYGTTTAAGTAGCAGGAGCGGCCGGTTTACATGCAAAGTCTGGACRCGTGTCTAGGGGTCTCGCAGCGCATCTAGCGCTTTTAGCACGGCGCGCAATGAAGCTGTAGGTGCTGATGCTCAAGTTAAAAAATTCTGAACTTTTGCTGCTTGACGCACCATGTCAGCCAACCAGAAAGCATCATTTTTGCATGTTTCCTGAATGTTGGCCACTTATCTAAAACACAGTCAGGAGCTCTTCAGCTCAAATTGACCATCTGCAGTAGGGATGAGTATTTTTGACATTTGAATCGATTCATTACCAATATCTGGTACCTGGGAATCGGTACCGGTACTTAACAGTACCAATTTTCAGTACTC